TGGAACCTGTAAGCCCAGCCCACTGAACCTAGAGTGATTTAGTACGTTCTTGGTTCGCTTTGTGAGTGGAAATCACAAAAAAGCGGGGTTTAGGACATCCTTGTACCCTAGTTCTAATTTCAGGACTCTACCTCCCAGTCTCCATCACCCTACCTCCCAGTCTCCATCACCCTACCTCCCAATTTTCTGCTCAGGCAGCACGAACATCGTGTGTGTGAGTCTTAACTAGATGCCATCTTCTCCATCTCTCTTCAGTACATTTTTCATGCAGTTTTTGTGGTAAAGTTTGGTGCCTTGGTGGATATTTGGGTTGGCTTATACTCGAGTGTATACAGTAATTTATCTTTGTCATCTCTTGAGAAGGTAATATTGAGCATAAGCTTTCATTGCCTTCTAGCACACAGTTTAATATTAATGGCTTTCTAAAGGGCTGGCACAGTAGATATGGTTTGGCAAGCAGAAGAGAAATTTATGAGAGTAATTAGTTGAGGGAGAAGGGGCAGTACTTCTAGCTCAGCTACACTAGGATAGGTTCCTCTTGCCCAGACATTTTCTGTTGCCCATTTAAAAGTAAAGAAGTAAAACTAGTAATTGTTTAAATCTTTTAAAAAAATACTCAAAAAGTAGATTATAAAAGCAAAAACACCCAACCAGATCATAACTACTGTAAAGTGATACTTGAAGTCTTTACAATAAATTCAAAACCAAGCAAGCATATAGCAATCAAATCTAACTTGAATGCTTAGGCCAAATTGGATCTGTCTTTAAAATGAAAATTAAATAATGCCACATATTTTTTAAAGCTGTGTATTAGAGAAACTAGCTGTATACCCAATTTCAGATAAAGGATCCTGAGGGTTCAAATCCTTTGAGTAGTTATTTCCTGGGCTGCTCTTCTCTCAGGCAGGCAAATTTTACCCAGACTTAGCACTACCTCCTTGGAACTGGTCAGTGGATTATGCGCATCCAGTTTTCAGTCCAGTGGCAGGTAGGTATCCACTTCGCAGATGAGGTGGCCTAAGGAAGTATTCCTACAGCTTCCAGAGCTAACATAAGTATCAACAAGAGCACAAGAAGAAAGCAGCCTTGGCCTTAGCCCTGGTTTCCTTTCACAAAAAATTTCTGGCTGCAGAGAACAGTTGGACCTGTGAACCCTGACTAGATCTGCCTGCCCTGTGGTTGTTTTCTCACATCCTTGGGGCAGTAGGAATGAGGCATGCAACAGGTCCCTTAGCTCCAGGCAGAAGCAGGAGCAAAAGCAAACATTTTTTTCTTCTGGAACAGGGATGGAACTCATACCCTTTGGACCTCCTTGATAAGCCATAAATCTCAACTACAGGACTTCCTAATGCAGAAAAATGACTTCTGAAGTTGGGCAAAGGGTTTATTAAGTGCACCCCTCAGCTGAAAGCACCTGGCTGGCTTACACCCTTTATTTTCATCCTTTAAACATATACATCCTGAATGACTCCATATGTTTCCGGACACCAAAATGAATAAAAGGTTTTTCTATGAGACGCGGGAGAAAAAAAATCTTGCTATCTTTTCTTGCCACATCTTGCTAAGCCTTCATTTTCTTCTTCAAAATAGGAGTTCAATCAGTTCTGAATGTTGAGGTCCACCTCATTCAAAAATCACTTGTAACTTTACTAGTAGAGAGCATTTAGAAATATTTCAGAGATTCATAAGACCGAAACAATTACTACCATTAGAAAGGAGGAAATAAATAGTAGTCATTCTGCTCAATCCAAAAATAAAAATGTTTTTTGAGGGTCTTATCAGATACCAAAATATTACATGCTGTGTATGCTATTGAAGTTTAGAGCATTCATTCTGATTTGGGATGCTATGTAAATATAGATGCCTCAACTTCTGATTGAAATATTTAGCCACCAACTTTTCAAATTGCCTACAATATCTCACTTGATTGTGACTGGCTGAACAACTGTTCCACAGGACGTAGTATACCAGCTCATTCCATTTCAGCTACAGAAAAGTTGCAGCATCTTTAAAATCAGTTAATGATTTATATATAAGACATTTTAAAAGTCCACCTATGTGTTTTAACTTCTATATACCAGTGACACTGTCAACCCACATATGGCCAATAAACCTGACATATAAAGAATTCAGAGTAACTTACCTTGAGACAAGAGTATGAACCATATTGCTTTCAGATCACCTTTAGGCAATGTTTTATAATTATTCGATTAAATGCAGCACAAGCTTTAAAGAGGTTGCATACCTGAGTTTAATACCCTTCTCATATTGCCATTGTCTATTTGGTACATTTTACATTCTTTTACACTAAACTGCATATAAACAAGGATCCATTTCAAGCTTTGTGGGCTCATAGTATATTAAGGATGAGATGTTCAGGTTATGAACAGAATGAATTATTTTATAAATATTTTTACAAAATCTGTATTTTCAATACTAGCTAGACATTGTATACAATCGCCAATATGACTCTGTATATAAGAACTAACAAAGCCTTGCCACTTTCATCTTTTGAATTTTTTTTTTATTATTTCTTTTCTAGGGAGAATTACCCAGTGTTCGCTCCAAGTTCCATGTCCTTTTTCTTCTCTTTGTCGCCTGTATGTTCTTTGTGAGCCTTGTGATTCTCTTTGGTTACCACTGTTGGCTTGTCAGCAGAAACAAAACCACCTTAGGTAAGACTGGATATTTAGACTAGGAAAAAATAAACACATTAGTACATATCAGAGTAGCATGTAAAATATCTCTGAAGAAGAGTACATTTTCCATTGAAACATTTTAGTTGCAGTGCTGTCTTTTTGCATCTGAACTGCAATAGATAAAAACATTTATTATTACACTGGAAAGCCACAATGAATGAAGTTTACAGACTAAAGAGAGTATTGTTGAACAAAAATGAGCAGTGTTCTTGACAATTCATATTAGGTATTGCTGTTGTTAGGTAATGTTGAGTTGCTTCTACTCAAACTGACCCTATGCCTAACGGAATGAAGCGCTGCCAGGCCTACACCATCCTCATGATCGTTATATTCTTGCAGACACATTATCAGCCCATCTTGTTGAGGGCCTTCCTCTTTCTCGCTGCCCCTCTACTTTACCAAGCCCCGTTTCCTTTTCCAGGGACTAGTCACTCTTGAGAACATGTCAGAAGTACATGAAATGAAAGGAAATTTTGATCCTAAGCTTTCTGGCTGTAGTTCTTCTTAGACAGATTTGTGGGTTTTTTGGCAGTCCATGGTACTTTCAGTGTTCTTTGCCAGCACCATAATTCAAATGCATCATTTATTCTTTGGTCTTCCTTGTTCAGTGTCCGACTTTCACATGCACATGAGGTGATTGAAAATACCATGACTTGAGTCAGGCTCACCTTAGCCCTCAAAGTAATATACTTGCTTTCATCACTTTAAAGTGGCCTTCTGGAGGTTTACTCAATGCATGTGTCGTTTGAGTATGGCTTCCATGAGCACTGATTGTGGATCTAAGCAAGATGAATCCCTTAACAACTTCAGTCTTTTCTCTGTTTACCATTATATTACCTGTTGGTTCAGTTGTAAGGATTTTTTTTAAAGTCATAATCCATATTGAAGGCTACAATCCTTGATTTCCATAGCAAGTGCTTCAAATCCTCCTCAATTTCAGCAAACAAGGTTGTATCATATGTGCGTATCACAGGTTGTTAATACGTCTTCTTCCGATTCTGATGCCGTGTTCTTCATACAGTCCAGCTACTCTGAGGATTTGCTGAGCATACAGATTGAATAAGTATGGTGAGAGGATAGAACCCTGATGTGAACCTTTTTTATTTGAAACCATATTTATTAGCAAGTAGCTCCGCAGAATTGCAGATCAAATGAGAAGGTGAAAGAAGAGAAGAAAGAAATAGTACAAAAGAGAATAATCAGAGAAAGGTATGAAAATCAATAAGTGAGAAAATACATTCAAAATTAGCCTTGAGAAAGAATCTGAATCAACAAATGACTGACTCTATAATCACCAACAAATTGTATATAGATTACAGGAGATAAGATGAGAGTTACACACATAAAAAGAAATACAAATACAAGAGAAAAATTCTGTTTAATTATAATAAAAACTATACTATAAGTGCTATTAGATATTTGAGGGAGAGATCTGAGCTAGATCTTGAAGAATACATAGGATTTGGCTGGAGAATGGGGCTGGGAGATATGGTGGAAATATATAGGCCAGAAATATGTTGGAAAGAGGGGAGGGGCAGCAAATAATTTGTTATCAGTGGAGAGTTCAGAAAGGTATATGGCAGAAAAAAGATTAGTGATTTCCCTATAAGAAGACACAAAAAGTAATACATAAGTAATTCTATTTTGTATGGGCATGTCAGATAGCCTGCAGGAATTCTGACAAGCTAGAACGAAAAGTATGGAGTTCAAGAGGTTATGGAATGATGCAAGAAATAGTACAAAAGCAGCAAAAAGATATGATGATTTATTAGATATAAAATTGCTCATTACTAAAAGAAAACTTCTAGGTTACTTGCCTGAGTTTTTGTATCCATGTTCTTACCCTTAGAAAACTTGCTAAATCATTTAATGTAGGACAAAAATGCTGAAAAATAACTTGCAAAATAAAATAATGGATTTTTGTCAAATGAGCAGAAACACCGATAAGTACTGTGGGAAGAGATGGCTGCATGTTTAAAGAGGGATGAGAAGGGACAACAGCAAGAGAAGGACCTATGAGGGCAAATGTTGACCTACCAAAAATGATAAAAAGCCCAGTGCACAAGTGAGTCTCTAGAAAATGCATACAAATAATAGTTACTTATTTAGTCTTTTACCAACTGTGTAGTCTGGGCTTACTTGGAGAAATGAATTTCTGATGGATTCCATTGCAACTGTATTTAATTCCTGGTGTACAAATAAATAAATGTATGAGATGTGAGGGTGGAAAAAGTCCAAAAGTTGAATGTTTGGCTTTGATAAATTTAAGAAAATTTTGTTGTAAAAAGCACTTACTTACTCGCTGCCATTGAGTCGATGCCAACTCGTGGCAACCCTGTAAGACAAGTACAAATATGAAGAAAATGTTCGTTTGTGGTGATGATTGCACAACTCTTTTTAATATAATCAAAGATTAAAAAAATGTATAAGCAGCACTGCTTTTTCCACAAAATGGTTTTGTTTGGGGAAATATAATTCTTTTCCATAAAGCACATATTGTTTTTGTTAAATAAATGAATGCATTAAAAAAAGGGCAGGTAAAACTGCTCCTGTGGATTTCTGAGACTGTAACTCTTTACAGGAGTAGAAAGCCTCATCTTTCTCCCGAGGAGTGCCTGGTGATTTTGAACTGTTGACCTTGATGTTAGAAGCCCAATACGTAACAATTACGCCACCAGGTTTCGATAAAAATCACTACATCTTAGGAATTTATTTACTAATAATTTAGACTAAGGAATAACACTTTTTCATAGCTTAGTATTAACACTTATGTTCCAAATATATCTGTTGGACTTAGTTGTTAGAGTGGTACATTTGGCTCAGAGATCAGCTGTAAAGCAGAAGATTGCTGAATGCTCATGATGTCATCTTTGAAAACAAAGAATAAAATTGCCAGATACAGCCAGAGTCCAACAATGAAACCAATTAATAGGATGTGTCTAAAAACAATGCCACTAACATAGTGTAAGTCCTCATGTTTTTTGATGGGATTGTGTTATTTTTAGGTGCCATTGAGTCAGTTCCAATACATAGCACCACAGAACGAAACATTGCCAAATCCTATGCCAGCCTCACAATTGTTCTTATGTTTGAGCCCATCAGCAGCCCTGCTGTCAATCTGTCTTGTTGAAGGTCTTCATTTTTGCCGCTCCACTACTTTACCAAGCACAATGTCCTTCCCTTGGGACTCGTCTCTCCTGACAACATGTACAAAATATGTGTGATGAAGTCTCCCCATCTTTACCTCTAAGGAGTGCTTTGGATGTGCTTCTTCCAAGACAAATTTGTTTGTTCTTTTGGTAATTCATGATACTTTCAATAATTTTCCCTAGTACCACAATTCAAGTGTATCAATTCTTTGTCAGTCTTTCTTATTCAATGTCCAACTTTCTTTTTTTTTT